TGCTTCCTACCTGAGTAAATAAGCGACACTAGCCTTCAGTTTAAGAGATAAGGCTGACACTGTTATAATTATCATCTATTATCTGTAAATATCAGCTGTCTTCCCTAAACTACCTGTCGCAGTCAGTTTAAATTCTGCCCTTCTCCACTGAGGACAAATTCTGAAGAAAAAAACCCGTTCAGGGCAATTTCCATCACAGTATGATGGACCCACTGATCCCTCATGACCTGTCAGTGTAAAGAAGGGAGAAAACACAAGGAACTGACCCCATTTTTTTGTGCCCACCTAGGAAAGCAAAACATTTCTGGACTGTCAGCTGCATTACTTCATTGCTTACACTGACTGGGCCAAACTCATGGTAAAGTCTAACCCAATCTTTGCCTGTACTTGTTGAAATAAATGCCCTGTGCTTGTACAGGTGCCGGAGCTTACCTTTTCTAGTGTTAGTAATCTGTATGCAATCTTCCCTCAGATCACGCAGCAGGTGGGCCGCTGTGGGCCGGTGGCAGGAGCTTTAGACTCTGTTGATGTCATTGTCTGTGCATACATGGTGGAATCTCTGGTGAGGATCACATCTTCCACCTAGCAAAATACACCCTGAAGAGGAATATAAATTTAACATAACTAAACTTTCATTTGCTGTTTTTGTTTGTATTTGTATGAAGCCTGCATGGTCTTAAGCTGCCTGTTCTCTCTTCAGAATGCCTTCTGGTTCAGTTTGGGATGGTGCATAATGTTCTTCATCCCCGGCATCATCTTTTCTATCAAGCTGGCCAAGTACTACAGGAGAATGAAGGAATCGGATTTCTTTGAGTAAGAAAAAAAAAGCAAAGAAAATGCACGGGTCAAAATGACGTGACAGATTAATTTAACGGCGGTTGTATGTGTCTGACTTTGACTCTTCATGTCTCTTTTCAGAAACCACATTACCGTGAACCAGATCCCGCGGGCGCAGATGAAACAATGAGAAAGATGGCATTCTCGCAGAGCTGCTTTAAAAGACTGCAGGCGCAAATGTTGCTTTGCCTTACAAACTAAAAACATATGGTGCACTCAGGCACAGATGTGGCATATTGTCACTCTGATGAAAAGTTTGAAAAATCCAGTTTTCACCACAAGGTGGAAACTCAAAAGCAACTTATGAAATGTCCTACACTGCATATACAATAATGTTTCACACGGCATCTTTAAAATAACTCAGGGGTACACAGGGCATAAGGGAAACTGCAGGGATTGGTTTTATCATAGCAAATTTAAAGTCCTGTATTACAATTAGAGTTTTTATAGGTTTTTCAAGTTTTTATACAGGTTTCATACGCATTTCATATGTGAACAGAGCTGCTTTATACATTTGCATGAATGCTGGTGTGCAGCTCCATGAATGTGACTCTAACGTGTGCCTAATCATTTCTAACTCAGTTATAAATTGTAACTGAACTAATGCTGAAAATTAAAACCACAACAACTACGCAGAACCACTACATTTTTTTGTTTTGTTAACATTATGTTGCTGTGAACTGATTTTGAGAGATGTTTTGAATTTATGCTGATTTATAGATAGATGTACAACCTCCACAACACTCAGTCATTTGTGCACATCATAGTAGCAATTTCTCCTCTCTCTGAACAAACTGCAAAT